TCCCCACCTCAGGTGGTCTGCCCGCCTTGACCTCCCAAAGTGCTGGGATTACAGGCATGACCCACCACACCCGGCCCACCTTGTTTTCTGATAGTGCTTTCATGTGTTATTTTTTCTGTCTTACTCTTTGAATCATCTAAATGTATCTTAATGTCAAGAGAGAGGTAGAGGACCCAGTTGTTTTGTTTAACTAGCCAGTTTGTTTTGTAAACTAGCCAGTTTTCCCAACACCAGGTATTGAACATCCCTCACTGATGTGAGATGCTGCCTTTCTCACAGTCTCAATCCCCATGTGCACTTCTGTTTATTTTCCTTCCACTTTATTCACATCTTTTTCAGTGTCCACAACCATATTGTTTTAAACAGCTTCATGATATGTTTGAATATTTGGTAGCACTAGAACCCTTTCTTGGTTCTTCTTCTTTTCTTCCTCTTCTTCTTCTCCTCCTCCTTTTCCTCCTGCTTCTTTCTTCTCCTCCTTCTTTCTTTTTAGAAATTTCCTGGCTGTTCTTGTTTTGTAGTCTTCCAGATAAATAATTTTGAATCACTTTGTCATGTTCCAGAAAATAATACTGCCAGAATTTTCGTTGTGATCACAGAAGTTTTACAGATTCATTTGGGGGAAAAAACCCATCTTCCCAGAATACAGAAGGGGTGAGGGAAAGACAAACATCAAGGATAAGTCCCAGGTTCTGGACTTGGAGACCAAGAGGATTTTGGGCATCCGGGAGCAGGGCAGGGAAGTGTGATGGTTGCCTTTCACTGAGTAGGAGGATGCCCGGACTTGGGGGAACTATGGAAAGTTTGGTTCAGACTTTCTGAGTTGGAGATGTCTATGTGCAGTCCACAGGGAGAAGCCCTGGAGGTAGAGGCCCTCCTTACTGCCTCCCTCATTCATTCTGAGGTCCATTCTCCACATGGACACTGAAGTGACTGAAGGCTTCCTTTGTTGGATCAGGATAGTCTCCAGGGCCCTGCATGGTCTGGGCCTGCCCACCTCCCTACCCCCTCTCCTGCCTGCCCTCCTCTTGCTCACTGGACCCTGCCCACCAGCCTCCTTCTATTCCTCCTAACATTTGCACTTGATGTTCCCTCTCTGCTTGGAACATCCTAGCTCTTTGCATGGCTTGCTTCTTTCCATCTTTTAATCTAAACTCAAATATCACTCCTTCAGATACGTCTTTCCCCAATATCCTAGCTAAAGAGAACTGCTCCCCACTTCCCACAAGCCCTACCAAACTGGGACTCTCCTTCTTGCTTTCTTTCTCTCTGCCCCTTCTGTGTTTTTTCCATAGACCTTAACACAACTTGTTCCTGTTTTATTTGTTGATGTGTTTACATCATTTGTCCCCCTTTGATGGTTAGTTTTATGTGTCAACTTGGCTAGGCTATAGTGGCTGTTCGTCAATCAAACACTGATCTATGTGTAGCTGTGAGGGTTTTTTTTTTTTTTTTTTGAGACGGAGTCTCGCTCTGTCGCCCAGGCTGGAGTGCAGTGGCCGGATCTCGGCTCACTACAAGCTCCGCCTGTGAGGGGGTTTTGTAACTGTGATTAATCAGTTGACTTCAAGTAAGGAAGATTATCCTGGAGAATGTGGGGGAAGGGGCAGACCTCAGCCTATCAGTTGAAAGGCCTTAGGAACAAAGCTGAGATTTTCCCGAGGAAGAAGAAATTCTGCCTGTGGACTGCAGCATCAGCTCCTGCTTGAGAGGTTCCAGGCTGCCCTTCCTGACAGCCTGTCCTATGGATTTTGGACTTGCCTTGCCAGGTTTTTCCTCTTCCTTGACCCCCCAAAACCATATATATCTCCTGCTGGTTTGTTTCCCTGGTGTAATCCTGAGGAATGAACACTCCTCCCTTCCAGTTCACTCCAGGAGAGGTTGGGGATCATGTCTGTCTATTTCCCCATGCCTGGCACATGCATGTTTATTGAATCACTGAACAACCACACATTAGGAAGCCAGTCATATGTGCTTCTTCAGAACCTCATGTCCATTACCAGACCTCCCTGGCTTTTGTGGCTGGAGGACAAGTGAGAGATAGTAGGTTACCCACAGACCTTGGCCCTGGGGGCCCCAGGGGCCCAAGCCTGCTGTAAGGGAGGAGGGAGCCCCTGAGGTCTCATACACCTCCCTGGAGATCTGGCACTTTCCCCTGGGGTTGGCCTCAGAACTGGGCGGGGGGGGGGCAGATTATGGAGTGGGTTGTAGAGGGAGCACCTCCTCCCTAGCAATCATGGTTTTTTCTGCGCCTCTCATAGGGAGGCCTTCAGGCCTCCACCTTCAGCTCTTCAGGAGCCACAGGCATCTGAGTGCCTTCTGCACCAGTCTTCTCAGGGACAAACTTGCAGTAAGAAAGAGAAGGCTGTTGTTGAAGCAGGATGAGAGTGAACTCTTCCGTGGGGGATACCCAGCAGTCTCCAAGCTCTTTTATCCTGTCTTCAAGGGGTCTAGAGAGCTTCAGCCCAACATGAGACCCAGTCCAGCAGCATTTCCCTGCGAAGTGAAAGTTAGGACCCTGACTAGATATACCATGCTGACCTCAGCCAGAATGTCAAGATGCTGAGGTGCTGAGATGCTGGGATGCTAAGGTGCTGGGGTGCTGGGGTGCTGGAGTGTTGAGATATGGTAGTGGTGGGATGCTTAAGTGCTGGGGTACTGGGTGTTGGGATGCCTAGGTGCCGGGGTGCTGAGATACTGGAGTACTAGTGTGCTGAGATGCTGGGCTGCTGGGGTGCTGAGATGCTACAATGCTAGGGTGCTGAGATGCTGGGCTGCTGGGGTGCTGGGGCACTGGGCTGCTGGAGTGCTGAGATGCTGGGACTCTGGAGTGCTGAGATGCTGGGACAATGGGGTGCTAGAATACTATGGTGCTGGGGTGCTGGGGTATTGAGATGCTAGGGTACTGGGATGCTGAGGTGCTGAGATCCTGGAGTGCCAGGCTTCTGGGGCACAGGCTCTTGAATCCATTTGTCTGCCCAGGGGAAGAAACCAGAAGATAAAGAGCTAATGAAGGAGCCTTGGTTGAGTGGGAGGAAGTAATGGAAGGAGCAACATCGTGTAGAGCAGCAGGAGAGAAAGGACCTCAGGTTGGGAGAGAGGGCCAAGCTACAGGCCAGAGAGGCAGAAGCACTGCAGCTGAGTGTGGGCTCCAGGAGCCAAGGGGAAACAGGTTTCTGGGAGGAGAGAGTCCAGTACTGCTAAAGGGGCAGGTCCACTGAGGACCGGGAAGCTTCATTTGGCTTTATGACCAGGAGGAATTTGGAACTGTGACTAGAGTACTTAGGGGGAAGTAGGCAAGACTGGAACCGGATTGCTCTGGGTTGAGCGGCGAGTGGGAGGCGAAGCAGGGCACTGCCACTCCTTTGAAGGGTAGCAGAGCGCTGGAGTTGGTGCTGGATGGGCTGTGGGGTGACAGGGTCATGTGGAAAGCCCCTGGGGGGCACCTGGAAAATGAGAGGCTGACAGTACAGTGAGAGGACAGCTAAGGGAGAGCAGACTGGCAGAACACACACTGCCAGGAGGAACGAGGATAGGGCCAGCTTGGGGTCAGGTGGCAGCAGGACGTGTCCAGGAAGCTGGTCTGCACTGCAGCCCACACTGGCTCAGCCTTGAGGTTCCCTGTGTGATTGGGGTAGGAAGTTGAACCCTCTGGGAATGGAAGATGGAACCAGTTCTGCGAGTCAAGCTCAGCTTTTATCTATGGGTCTCTGAGGGCTGGCATAGCTGAGTGGGGACAGGTGTGATCCATGAGGCTCTCAGGTTGAGGTGGCCCCTCTGGGAGGGCTTCATTTTCCCAGCGGGTAGGTTCTAAGCAGCAGTCACTGGGCAGGTGGGTCTAACACAGAGCCAGAGAAGGGTGAAGGGGCCTCCTGGCACCCCACCCCTGCTGCAGCTGAGCTCAGTGACAGAGGGGGACAGCACAGCTGAGCCCAAGTGCTTTGGTGTGGCCCCGAGGGAAAGCTGCAGCCTGCCTGGGGCCTGGCATGGTTGGGACACTTGAGGCAGAGGGACAGTAGTGGGAGCTGCAGTGAGGCTGGCTCCTGGAGAGGCTTCCTGAAGAGTGCTGCCTGAGACGGGCAGGGAGAACAGAGACAAAGTTGGTGGCAGGGAATGAAGGCTGACTGAAGGACTTTACCCAGACCTATGAGGATATCTTTCTCACCTGGAAGCAGGAAGGGACCGTGTGAGGACTGGCCAAGAGCTGGAGTGTTGGAATAATGACTCTTTCTATGACCCCTCTGTCCCACCTCTGGTCCCTGGACTGGGGAGGTCTGCTTCCAACCCCATTGGTCGATCACTGTCCCTTGTCACAGCCATTGAGAATTTTGGCAGGGGGCATGTTCTTAGAGCATTTTTAGGCTCTGCAGGACATAACAGCTCTGCCTCAGAGCATATGCCTTTCTCAGCTCCTGAAAGCCACTGATCAAATTGGAACATTTTGTACCTTAGGGATGAGGATATCAACTCTTCAAGCCAGTTAGAGGGATAAATGTGATGATGCATTCAATTGTGACTACATCTGATCCCAACTGTTGCTTCAGCTGCACTCCTACAGCACATGGCGGGAGGCGTGCATCCCAATAGCTACCTCCCCACTTCTGGGGAGATGTGGTTCCATCCATGAAACCTGGATACCCGCCTACCAGGTCCTGGTCTGTCAGGTGGCAGGGTCTGGTCAAAGAAGGGCATGCGTGGTCTTCGGCAAGGGAGACAGGATGGTGGTGCAGAGAGTCTAGACCCTCAGGGCAAGTCCTCGCCACCCCTGCTCCCAGGGCAGTTGTCTTTGTGGCCTCCCATCCCTCTCTGTTTCATCCTCTATAAAATGAGGGGCTGAGCCCCAAATAACAGGCTTCTTTGCTGTGATGCAAAACTACCGAATCTTTCTTTCTGACACACAAGGCATCGAGCAGCCTCTGAAATAAGCAAAGCCACTAGCAGGCTTCCTGACTTGGCTTTGTAGGTACTGAATACTCCCTTGAAAAATAAAAACATAGAGGCACTTTTCTCCTGGCTGTTTATTACAGAACGAAGAAAAAACACACTGGCTTGAAACAGACGCCAGATTTCAAATGTAGAGGCGAAATACGAGGTGGCAATTAAAATGTGATTACACAAAGTCTGGACACTGAGGAAAGTTTACAGGACAGTGGGTGTGGGTTTTCTATAACAGACACTTAAATATACATGACAATAATTGCAGATAGAAACCATCAAAGACAAACCCCAAATCAACTATTAATGTTTACAGATGTTCCCCCTCAAACCACAGAGCCTTACATCAAAACAGATACTGAAAGGCTTTAAACCAGGAACAGCTCGCCTTCACCCCACGAGGGTGCACACAAGCTGGGCTTTTTCTCTCGGTCTGAATGGTAAAGGGAGGAGGATACTCTAGCTCCTCAAGGTGGATTGCTGAGACAGTGCTCGGCGCACACGCTCTCTCTGTGCCTCTCCCAGATCTGGAGAACTCTCTCAGCCTCCTGGTAAAGTGTCTCTGTGGGGCACTTAATGATAAAACGGCTTCTGCTATAAATGCTCATTAGGAAAGAGCTAGCGGAGACTGAAAGGTTTGCAAAAAGAGATTAAGAATCACACAAGGCAATAGGATTTTTAGTGAACATAGAAATAAATGGCCAAGTGGTTTTCTATTTGGCATTTGTCAACTTGCACAACAACTCTTGGTCACATCCACATTGCTCATTGCATCAAAACCATAAGCGACTCAGCCACCTAGCTTAACAAGGTATCACTGGAGCAAACAACACAGTCTGCATATTTGTAACAATGTATAATAAACACAAAACAATGCATAGTAAACACAGCTCTACTGAAACAAAAGCCGTCGCTTTATTTACAAAGTCACAAAATGAAGTATAAATACTTCTGTCATTAATGTTTAGGAAAACCATTTACAAAATTTTCAAATATGTACACGTAGCTTGAAAAATCACCAGCTTTCCATTTTGTCACAGGTAGAGGGAGGGATAAGCATGGGCTGACAACACCACTCAAATTGTAACGGGAGACAGCTGCGGGTGTGGAGTGACACCACTCCCTAGAGCGATGTCAACGTGGGCGTTTCTATGGGCATCCTGCTCAGATTTAAAGTGCCCCAGCATCCTGGGTGACTTGTCCAGCATTCTGGGCTGTGGCATTTTGAGCAGCAGCATGCTGTTCCAAAATGTCATCGATCAGCCTCAAGTTGCACACCCAGTCTTCATCTGGGCTCACACAGGAGCCTTTCAAGAGAGCTTCAATGAAATCTACCTCATTGCAGTCAGGTGACGAAATCAGATCATTTAGTGGGGGTTGGGGCTGGCGCAAAAAGTCGGCAGGTGGCAGCTCAGGGGGAATACCCGTTCTGTTGAACGGACCTGGGAACTGGCTGGCGGCAACGGCAGAAGCAGCAGCAGCGGTGGCAGCAGCAGCCACATAGCTTGGTGGCTCGATGCCCTGTATGGGGCTCAGGGGACTAAAGCTGGCCATACCCTTCTGGAGGAACTTGGTGGTGTTTGCTACAGGCACTGGGCCCCGCACCGGGCTCTGCCTGAGGCTCTGACTGCCCAGCAGGCTGAAGCTGGGGTTGTTGGCCAGAACAGCACTCACCTTCTGGCCAGGCCTGCCTTCAGAGGCCATCTGATTGGGAGTCGCAACTGTCTGCTGCGATGGGAACACTGGGGCCATCAGGGGCACTCTCACAGGCGCCTTGGCAAAGATGGAGTTGCTATCAAAATGCTGCTGAACACTATTATCCACTTGGCTCAGGGGTGGTTTCCCCGAAACTGCTGTGGTCACAGCTGCTGCCGCTGTGCCCCATGCAGCATTGTTAAACACAGTGGGAATTCTTGGCACACTAGGCCGTCTGAGCTGGTGGGGACTCAAGGACTGGGTGCCCAGGGAGCTGGGACAGAACCCAGGCAGGGGCACTTCTGGTGGGGTGGCCTTGGGACTCTGCGTATGCTGGCAGACAGGGCCAAGACTGCCCAGGGGAGTCTGGCCTGAGTGCGAGGGGATGGGAAACTGGGAGCTGGAGGTGGAAATTCCTTGCCGCTTCCCCAGAGTTGGTGAGATCACTTCCATGCCCTCGCAGCTCTGGTGCCTGCTGAGTGGGATCATTCCTGGACTCAGATTGTTCTGAAGGAGCCCAGTTCTGGGTGGCATCAAGTGCTTGCTAGATGGGGGGCTTGCCTTGATCCGGCTACACTTGGAGGTGACTTGTTCTTGGGCAGCTACATACAGAGAGAATTGGGGATCAGTTCCAAAGGCATCCTCGACTTGGGCTGTGGCCACCGGAGTGAGGCTCCTGGCCCAGCACGGACTTCTCACCTCCCGCCCTTGGCTCTCTACTGAGCCCCCCGACCCTGCTCCCCAATTCCTCACAATTCCCCTCATTTCTCTGCCCTCAGCCTGGAATTCCGTTCTTCTGGGAAGCTGCCCCAACTTCCTAGGTCTGTGCTCACCAAAAGCAGATCACACTGGACTGAAATGGCAGCTGATTTGTCTCTTCAAGAAAACTGGAAGCTCCCGGAGGCCAAGGTCCATGTCTGCTTTTACACTCAGTGCTCTGTATGCAGGGCCTGGCACTGCCCACCCTTTGACAGGTGGTGCATATTTTGTAGAAGGAAGGAAGGGGCCAGGTGGGGTGGGCTGGTGGCAGGAGCTAGCTCAGTCTCTTCAATTCTCTACCCGATGGATGTGACCTGGGACAGCAAGTGAGTGTGGTGAGTAAGTGCGGGTGGTGCTTTGTTCCCCTCTGTTCTCCTCATAGCCAAGATGGTCTCTGAGTCCAGATCTGGGGCTCAGACAACATTTGTACAACTGAGCTGTAATGGGGTTCCTTTCTGAAGGCTGAAATCTAGGAGTTGACATTCTGGACTCCCTGAGTTCTGAAGAGCCTGGGGATGGAGAGACATGGAGCAGAAGATGGAAGGTAGAGTCCCAGGTGCCTAAGATGGGAAATGCATCTCCCCTCATTGTCATGAGAGTCCATTCTAGCTGATATCTACCGTGGCCAATATCTACAGGTACTTTTTTGGAGTGGACACTGAGTCATGTAGCAGTCATATGGTTTACCCAAAGTCAGGTAGGGGAGACAGTGCAATCAGGGCACAAGCCCAGTGTGTCTGACCCACCGAAGAGTCCATGCTCGTATCTACAAAAATGATTTCTTTCTCTTGTAATGGTGCCTAGGTTCTTTTATTATCATGGCATGTGTATGTTTTTCAACTAGGTTACAATCTAGCCCTATAAGGTTAACCTCCTGGAGGCCAACAGCCTTCCTGAAACTTGTCTGTGCTGTCCCTGCAATTGGAGTGTGCCCAATGTGGCACTCCAGCCTGGACAAGTGGGACACAGACTCTGCTGGTATCAGGCCAAAAGAGGTCTTCCATAAGACTGGAAGAGCGATGGTGTAGAGGTGTCACGGGCTACGATAAAGATGCTGACCACCTGTTGAGGGCAAGCAGCCTCTCCTGACCCTCAGACAAATGCTGAGTGTTCCCAAGACTACCCTTGGCCTGGTCCAATCTCATCCCACTGGTGCATAAGGGTTGCTGAACTCATGACTCCTTGGCCAGCCTGCAAGCTCCATGAAGTGGGAACTACATCAGGCTTTTTGCTAACTGCTGTATCCTAGGCCAATAAATGTTGATCACATTTATAGTGGGGACCCCTGCTATCTATCTGTGGAGGCTCCGGGAGCCCCTGACACAAACTTTCTGAAGCAGAGCCTCCCCAACCCCTTTTCCATTTCCTATACCTGACAGATGTCCCAGAAACCCATTAGAAATGGAAGGTCACTGCAGCAGTGTGTGAATATGTGTGTGGGAGAAGGGCAGGATCAGAGCCCTGGGGGTGTGGCAGCCCCCAAGTGATTCTAATCCAGATCCTAGCGGGTGTGTCCCTGTCCCATTGAAATAGCTGCTTTAAGGGGCCTGACTCAGGGAAATCAGTCTCTTGAATTAAATGATGATTTTGGAGTCATTTAGACCAGGCCTTCAATTGGGATCCTGCTCTTAGAGTTGGATGAATTATTTAACTGTTTTTCAGATCTCTTCTCTCTCAATGCTTTCAGAAACACAGACAGTAACTGCTTACTCTGAAATGAATTCTCACCCCACTTCCACATATGCACCCCTTGCCCGTCCCCTTGGGAACACTGGCCTTAACTGCTTACCTTGAAATGGACTCATCTGTTGGGAGATATATGCATTCTGCCGTTCAGGGGTCATTGCCATATGACCTGATCTCTGTTCCTCTTGCTAAACAGAAGACGAAAAAGACAAATTAGATTACAGCTACCAATAAATAATTAGCCTGAGGATCACTGCGTGGGGACCTAGGACTTGGCTTTAGTGTAGCAGAAAGCATGAATGAACACACCAACACACATTCGCATGCATGCCCCACCCTCTTGAGCAAAATTCCACAGGTATAAATAAGATTCTGCACCTGGGTTAAAAACACCAACTGCAACAGCATAGAATGGGGCAGGAGAGACAGAACTTAAAAGCAAGAGCACACAGAAAAAAGATTTAGGCATTTTGGATGTCCATCTGCTCAGGATGGGTCAGGATGGGTCAGCAGTGAGAAGCGGTCACCAAAAGAACAAATGTAACTTTAGGTTGCATTAATAGAAGCAGAGTATGTAGAAGGAGGGAGGTGACAGTCCTGTGCTAACTCTGCCTTGGCCAGGCTATACCCACAGGAGTCTGGGCATGCTAGTCTCAGGGAGACCCAGACAGACTGGCTGCATTCAGAGGATGGTAAGTAATGAGAGTGGGGATTGGACTTCAAATTACCCAAAGAATGGCTGAGCAAGCGGAGGATGCTGTGGCTGGGGCAGAGCAGACTGTGGGCTATGTAGTGGTGGATGCCTAGCCTCTGCAGGGCTGTCATAGGGAAAGGACATTGGGAAGAGAACCGAGGCTTGTTCCTGGTGGTCCTGGCATGAACGGCCGGATGATCACATGGTCAGGTGGACACAGTCTCCAACACTGGGAGTAGCCAAACACTTACTGCCAACCTCCCGCCCTTCTCCTGACTAGTTGCAGCATAGGCAATTCGGAGGAGCTTCCTGTCGCCATCTGAAAGCTGGCGGGGTGGGCAGGGGGAGGAGTGAGCCAAGTTTCAAGGCCGCAGTTTCAGCACTTAGTCTGGGATTGGCTCAAGGAGCAAAGGGGAAGAACATAGCCAGGAGGGAATAACATGAAAGCCCCCAGACCCAGAGAAGGCATAACTTGCTCTGAGACCGTCAGCCAATTGGTGTCAGGTTGTGAGTTGGATCCAGGCCTGACTCCCAGTCCAGTGCTTGAAGCCTCCTCACCCCACATAGTGAGGGGAGCCCGGCCATATCTGCTCAACTGCTGCCATCTCTCTCCCTTTCTCAACCACCAAGGCAGCTCTGTCTGGGAGCACATGCTCCAAGTCCACTTTCTGGTCTGTGTCCCCCCAGACACCAGAGGACTTGACTCTGCAACATGGTCTGCCCGTGCAGTGCCTGCTTTTCCAGCAAAGGGCTTCTGGGAACCCTTCTCTGCACTCGGTGGGGCTGGCGGGAGTGGGGCGGGGTAGAGACCCAGTGCTTGGGACTGTGCCCGGCTCTCAGGCCTGGCAGCAGTTCCTGGCCTTGGTTCCTGCCAAGGCAGAGAGGACAAACACATGGCACCGGGAAGACTACACCAGAAGCAATTCCACCAGACTGGGGTTTGCTTTTCTATCCCGCCCTTAGCCTGCTTCCTGTCCTGGTCCCTGCCTCCCCCTCCACTGGAGCTGCTGTGTGGGCAGTGAGGGGCTGTTTCTCAGCTGCCCTATGCAGCTGCCCTCTCCCTGCTGAAGCATTGGCAAGGCGGCAAGGGGTGGGGGTGGGGGTGGGGTGGAATCTGCCTTCTCAAGCTCTCATTATACTGAGCATGTCTCACCCATTATTTGATGTCATCTAGCAACACCCCATGTGGACACTGAGGAGCATGGGGGTCACATGACCACTTCCCAAGGCCGCACCATCCGGATCTGCCTGAGATGGTCAGGTCAGGGTTGGCGGCCATTTCTGAAGGCAGTCCTTTCGCTTTGCCTCTTCTCCTTGTACCAGCCTCAGGACATCAGGGCAGAAGATCTACAGTCCCCAGCTTACTGATGTGACAGCAGAGGCTCAGAGAGGTTAAATGACTTGCCCAAGGTGACACAGCTAAGAAGTACAGTATCTCCTAACTGCAAACCAGGTGCTTCTGCTGCTTCTGGGGACAGATTCCTGGGTGGCTGGCTAGGGCTAAACGGTCCTTAATTCCATCCCCACCGGTTGCTGCATTAGTTTCATCAAATAACACAGTTGTACAGAGGTCGGGGTTGGGGGGAAGGGGCAGATGGAGGCTAGAGAGTGTGACTAAGGAAACAGCAGGGGAAGTGTGGTAAAGTCCAAAGGGAGGGACGGAAAGAGAAAGCCAAGCCCAGGGGCGTGCCAGACAAAAGGAAAGGCCATGCCGGAGCAGGGCGGGCTTCAGCGGGTGCTGGGGCGTCTTCATCCTAGGAAGCACACATTCCAGAGGACCCCGGAGTCTAATGGAAAAGCTGGCCAGCGTATCACTATGGAAACTGCCAAGGCCACACAATGCTGCTGACACCCAGCTTGGGTGCTGGCGGCCAGCTCTGCAGGACCTTCAAGTCCAGGGTGCCACCAGCAAGCGAGGGCCCTCCATGGACTCTTCACCTTACGGCAGTGTCCAGAGGCACCACCAGTCCTCTGCTGCTATGCTGGTCCTGCTGTACCTGGCAAAAGGAGCCAGAGCATTCTCTCCAGGCCTCCCGAGGAGGCTGCTTCCTTTGTTTTGCAGATGGAGGCTCCCATCCTTTGTTCTGAATCAATGTGCTCCAAAGATAAGCCCCAAGAAAACAGTTGTTGCCTTTTGACACTGACAATTAGAATCGTTGGAAAATGGAGAAAACAGGAAATGACAAATGGTTTCAGTGACCAGGAGGAAACCGTGCCTGAAAGTTGCTGCTTTGTGACTGGGACACTCACTTTCTGTTCTCTTATGAAGGACGGCCTAGGCCGTGTGGCCTTTTATAAACAAAGCTATGAAGGGGTCGTCAAATTTTCTAGGGTTGCAACTGTGGCACTAGGTCCTATTGTGCCAGGTGACACTGACAAGCAGCACTGAGTTCTGTGCGAGCCCAGGTGTGCTTCTCTCATGGTGACCCCCAGAGAACTAAGGCCCGGCTCTTCGTCTGTCACACCCCCTCCCAGCCCCCACCCTCAGACAAGGGACCACATTCACAGTCTCAGCCAAGATGACAAACTTGGAAGTTCTTGGGATGCCTTTCTAGAAGCTTCAGGCTGATGCCAGGAAGCTGTAAAGCCCCCACCTGTCTCTGGGGGTTGTGTGCTGGGCAGGAGAGAGGGGAAAAAGCCCAAACTCCACCACTGCCTGCTGGCACAACTGAGCCCATGCCAGGCACTGCACCAGCTTCACTCACCAGCCAACACATGCTAATGTCTCCTGTTTACCCAGGTGCAATCACCTGAGTGCTGCCTTCTCACCACTACACGGGAAGAATGATCTCGTTACCAATTCAACCACTTAAAGGGGCAAAAGGACTCCAACTGGGGAAAGGCAGAGGACAAACGATCAGTGGGACTGAGACAGATGCCCACAAAACGTTCCTGGATTTCAGATGGATTTGGGCTGAAGTTCCTTGCCCCATGATCCCCTGGAGGAGAGCATCCTGACTCAGACAAGAATTCAAATGACATAGCTTCTGGGGGATGGCAGTGAATGGATCCAAAGCCTTGTTTTATAAAGAATGTGGAGGAAGGGAGGAAGGAAACGAGGGAGGGGGAGAGAGAGAGGGAGAAGAAAGAAGAGGAAGAGAAGGAAGAGGAGGAGGAGGAAGGGGAGGAGGGAGGAGGAGGGAGAAGGGAAAGGGAGGACAGAAGAGGGGAGGGAGGGGGGAGATTATCTACCCCTCCAGCTAGGGAACCCCTGTCTCCTTTCCCAGCAGGCACTGCTCCATGAGTGCCCCCACAGAGAGCCAGCCTGCTACACAGCAAAAGGGCTCAGCTACCTGTCCCAAAGGTTGAGCACTAGTGTACTCCACAAGAAAAAGCACCTTCTTTTGTACTTTTTGGAAGCCAGAATTAGAAACAACTCATTCACACTTCTGACTTTTCCTTTGGAATGACAGGAAGATAGTATACTGCATGGGACCACCACACATTCAAGATCTGAGTGGTGGGGACCTCCACCCCCACATGGGTGGAGCCCCCTGAGACCCATGGGCTCTGACTGGCCATGGCCCATAGATAGTGGCAACGTAGACAGTGCTGTCTGAAGCCTAGGTGGAGGATGGATGGATGCTCTTAGGAAAAAATTCCCTTCAGTCGTCCTTCAGAAACTATAGCGGCTTCCTAAAATGAATGGCAGGCAAGTTTTGATTGTTTCCTAAGTTCCTCCTAACTCTCAGAGCCTGTGACTCAGCTTCTCCAGAATGCCTGCAGGGAGGCAGGACCATTGGGAGTAATGAGCACGAATTGGGCCACTTCTCCCAGTGGACTGTTAACACCAGGATCTGGGGTGGAACCCACTGAACACCTGCCCTTTTGCGTTGCCTTGGCTCAGCGCCTTTCCTTGCCCAGAATGCAGCCAGAGGGATACGGGCCACAGTAACTCTGGGGCCCCTGAACTTACCTTCCCGAGACCCTGATGGGAAGGTATTGCTTACATGACAGTCCAGTCAGCCCCTCTGTCACTCAGTTGACAAACATTGATCATGGGTCTACTGTGGGCCAGGCTTTGTTCCAGGCATGGGGATAACACTGTTTGTCTCTACTCTTATGGACACAAGTAAATCAATCAAAGCAGATAATGCTCTAATGACCACCCAGTAGGGTGAAGGAATGGAGAGTGGGCAGGTGCTGGCAGAAACCTAAGGTCAAGTCATGGGACCCCAACAGGGAACTGGAACCTGCCACACCATTTTCTATGTTAGGGATCTTTCCTTGCTCTTCTGGAGACCTGACCCATGGTAACGGTGCTGCCCTCAGGTTTGAACTGGTCTGAACCTGTCACTGGGGCTTCACAAAAGGAATGCCATTGAAAGCAAATGGCAGAAATCTGTATATGAAATTCTTTTTGCCCTTTGTTTTCTGTCTTCCCACATGACCTATGACTGCTGCAAACTCTATTCTGACTCCTCAGTCTTGGCGGGTCTGGGAAGAACTTGGTTTAGATGCTGGGAGTGATCCTGGGCAAAGGAAACAAATATA